AACAGTAAGTCTATAAGGCAATGAATGTCAAGGACTTCAACTATCAGAAGTTAGAAACAGGCAAGACTACATGCTTTCTTGAGGCGTTCTGAGAGAGCATGGCCTTCCTGAAACTTTGGCTTCAAACAAGCCTCCAGAACTGTGAGACAATAAATTACTGTTTAAAACCACCTAGTTTGCGGTACTGTTAAGGTAGCTTTAGGAAACTAACATAAATTTATATCTGAATTTTTTGTTTGATTATTTTGAGACAGGATCTCACTATGTAGTTCAGGCTGATCTTGAACTCACTAGAGAGCCCAGCCTGGCCTGGAACTCACAGCAATTCTCCTGCCTCAACCTCCTGAGCACTAGGGTCACAGGCATGCACCAACATACATGGCAACAATTTTAACTTCTATAATTCATTTTTTTTCAAGACAGGATCTTGCTATGTAGTTCAGGCTGTCTTTGAACTCACTATGTAGCACAGCCTAACCCTCGAATTCACAGCAATCCTTCTGTATCAGTTCCTGAGTTCTAGGTTGACAAGTACGTATCACCATGCCTGGCTTAAATGATAAAACTGAAATCAATGTTGATCACAAGATCACAATATTTGATAAGTTTCATTTTATTTATTTTGCAGTACGGGGGTTGAACCCAGGGCCTTCACACTGAACTATATCCTCAGCCCTTTTTTATGTTTTATTTTGAGGCAGGATCTTGCCTCAGTTGGGTTTGAACTTGCAGTTCTCCCCCCTCAACCACCTAGAATGCAGGGATCACAGGCATCTCCCTGGAACTCACAGCCACACCTGGCTAAATCTTCATTTTAAGTATTTCCCTTTATGATAATTAACTTGATAAAGACTTTAAAAGTAAATAAATAAATGTGACACTGGGAAAAAACAAGAAGGATTTCCCTGCTGACATGACTGTTATTGGTGCTGTTAATACTGTGACAATATTGGGAACATTTCTGATAAATTATTTCAAAATGCAAAGTTTAGTACATCTAAAGCTGTTAATTCTTGCAGTTTTTCTAAAAAGATTTAACTTTACACAACCCATTTTCAGTTGGATTCAGAGTATAACCAATCTTAAATATAAATTTATACAATGCTATTTTAATGTTCCCTCTATTGTTTCTTGTAACTTGTGGACATCATACAAAAAATGGAAAGTAGCTGGACATGGTACACTCCTGTAATCCTAGCACTTGGGAGGCTGAAGCAAGAGATGGTTTGTAAGTTTGAGAGCAGCCTGGGCTGCAAAGTGAGCCCAAGGCCAGCCTAAACCGCATAGGGAGACCCTGTCTCAAAAAAAACAAAACAAAAAGAAAAAGAAAAAAGGAAGGTAACTTCAAGATCTGTATATAATTGAAACTTTCCATTTATACATTCTTTTGTTGTACCTTCAATTACAAAGAAAAACTTTAAACTGTCTTCCTCCTTTGGAAGGAGTGGTTGACATAGGACCATAGTTCAGGCTGGTCTTGGACTCACTATGTATATCCTAGGCTAGCCTTGAACTTGTGGCAAGTTCAAAGTTCAAGGCTAGCCCCAGCCTCTTAAGTGCTGAAACAATGGGCATGTGCTATCATGCTCTGGTACCTTCTTCAATAATACTTGGTTTTTCTAAAGTTTTTTATCCTATATGTCCATTGTGATGATCTTTTTGTTTGTTTGGTTTTTGAAACAAGGTTTCACTATGCAGTTCAGGCTGGTCTTAAATTCACAGAGATAATTCTGCCTCAATCTCCTGAGTGCTGGGATTACAGGCATGTGCTACCATTCCGGTTTATTGTAATGATCTTTAATTGTGTTAGTGTTTCTCAGGATTCCCCAGGCCTAGGTGATGGGTTTTATTTTGTTTTCTGAAACTGGGGAGCTCTGAGTTACATCTTTGGATTTTTTTATTTTTATTTTGAAACAGGATCTTGCTAGCCTGGAACTTGCAGCCTTGTATCTCAGCCTGCATATCTGTGATTACAGATGTGCATCCCTGTTTCTGCTAGTCTTTAGTTTTAACTTCTGCTTCTAAACCTGTGGATTATTTGCTTTGCAATGTTGCATCAGTTTTCAAAACCAGAGATTCTAAATGCTTTAAAGAATTCTGTTAATTCTGTCATACATTTTACTGCAATGTGTATGAGTACGCTTTCATTCTGTAATAATTTGTTGGTAAACTTTATTGCCTGAGCTCCATATGTTCTTGTCCCTGTGCAAGGCAGACAAACTTTGGAGCCAGCCATGATGATGCATCCTGGCTCTCAGGAGGCTGAAGCAGAAGAATCACCATGAGTTTGAGGTCAGCCTGGGCTATATAATGAGTTTAAGGCCAGCCTGTACTACAAAGCAAGATCCTATCTCAAACAAAAACAAAAACAAAGGAAAGCAAAATACAAGACAAATTTATGGGCCAGGGATGATTTCTAGTGATAGAAGCAAAAGCTTACATCTCACTACAGGTCTTTTCACTGCCTCTGCAGGCCCTCCTCTCTCCCAGGGCTTTTGCTACTGCAACCTCTGCTGCTGCTTCTGCTGTCATAGTTGTTGCTGATATGATGTCTGCATTTGGTCCTGTGATGCCCTGGATTACCCTACATGTGTGTACAAGGTGGCCTGGCCAACTTCTCAGTGTGCACTGCTCCTTAGTATATCTTTTCTGCTCATGTAGATGCTGTTTTCTCACTGGACTACACTTATGAAACAAGTTCAGTCTTGGCCTAGTGGCACATACCTGTAATATCACCAATCTGGGAGGCTAAGGCAGAAGGACCACATATTCAAGCCCAGCCTGGACAACTTTGTAACTTATTGACTTAATGAGACTCCATATCAAAAATAAAAAATAAAGATTATGGTTATAGCTCAATGGGAAGACCGATGTTCAACCCCCAGTATCACAAAAACAAAACACACACATTCAAAGATAGTTATTAAGAATTATAAGGCGAGATTATCTTGTGGTGAAACACTATTTTGCTTAAATGGCTATGTTGTGACCTGTGCTGTTTTGTTGTTATGCCCTCTTTTTTATCTCAATCTCCTTTTTATTATCTACTTTTTCATTTTTATCCTTTTAATTAAAGGAAAAATAAATAAAAAAATAGCAGGATATATTATAGTAACCCACTTTGATTTCCTATTAACTTGATTTGAAACTCTGCATTGCTCTCACCATCTTGTTTTGACTGATTTTCCTCTATTCTGTTATGCTTGATACTACCAAGTTCGAAAGTATAGGCAACAACTATGAAGACAATAAGATTCATCGTGATGCCCATTCTGGTTGACTATTATCTTCTTTTGAAGTCCTCTAATGTCTCCAATGTTTTGGTTTTATTGGTCTTATTCTTTATTGTTTTGTTCAATTTTATTATAACTGATGATATAGGCAATTCTTTTTAAGATAACAAGAGGCATTATGGTAACCATTGTTGATCACCTTGTATTTTGTTTTTACATTATGTATTATGTCCATCCTTTTGATTTGACTGACTCTGTCCTGTTATGTCACATTTGGTTTTACTTTCTTCAAAAAAAAAAGTAACAAGAACTGTAGGAATAATAAAACCCAAAATGTGTAATTGTCATTATACAAAAGAAAGGAAAAGAAAGTTCTCTAAAAGATATAACTGCATATATATTTAAGTGTATAAGATAGATAACCATGTTACTGAGTTTTATTGGATCATTGAACAAAACTGTTTGCAGTCTCACTGTTTGAAAGTCCCCTCTATATGCTTTAATATTGTAACTTCAACAACTATTTCTAAGATGACAATATGTAATTAACTAGTGATTTCCTGTTTTTCTGAAATTCTGTATAACTTGTACCTTCTTTTATCTCCTTAAATAAAATTTAAAAAAAAGAATTATAAGGCAATGACAGCAGTGCATTAAATGAAGTCCACATTCATTCCTGAGAAGAGACCACTGCACAGGTTGCCACATCTAGCTGGCCAGCTCTAAAGGAGCATGTTGGTGTACTCAGTTGCCTAGTTTGGCATCCTGATAATTTTTATCCCAAGTGTTTGATAACCATATTTTGTTTCTGTTGTTCAAATTATGCAAAGAACTACCATATGCCATTACTTCTGAATGTATTTGATCTGTATCATCAGAAACCCTGGCTTGGATTTATACTACCTATGTGACCCTGAGCAAATGAATTAAAATTTCTGTACTCCACTTTCTCATCCATAAAACTGGGACGTTGATACCATATGGTGGATCCAACAGATAGATTCATGCTCTTATGTATGATTAACAAAGAATTGGGGCTGGGGATTTAGCTCAGTGGCATAAGCGCCTGCCTTGCAAGCAGGCAGTCGTGAGTTCGATCCCTGGTACCGCTAAAAAAAAAAAACCAAAGAATTGCAAGCTACATCCAATGGTAAAAGAAAAAGGAATTATATTTATTGAAGATCACGGGAAGATGTGATCAGGGCAGGTTCATGCTGACAAAAATTTGTCCTGAACAGAAAAGTGGTGCTGAGATGGCAGGAAAGTAAGTATACATAGATAAATCAGGATTTCAGAATTTAAAAGTTGTGCATTCCAGTCCAGGTGTCTTTCATTGGGTCTCTGGGTACGACTAACAGGAATGATTGAGTACTGAGTCATCCTTAGGAGCATCTAGTATGCAAGATTTTCCCAGAGTTCAGATTAAATTACATGTATGAAATAGTCCATATTTATGAATTTTTAACATGGTTAGAGTGAAGAAAAGATTACTATTGGTTAAGCCCATGAGATCTAACATGCAAGTACTCTGGTCTGGAATGTTGCAGATTTCCTGGGCCTTTTTGTTGTGCTTTCTGTTTATCTTAGAACAATGAAAGGAGGATTGCCCCTGGGGTGTTGCTCAATTTCCAGTGGACAGAGGATAGTGGTCTCACAGCTCTAGTTGTGCTACCTGTACTAATGGCCCTAGTACCCACCTAATAGGATTGCTGAAATGACTGAGTTAATTCATGTAAAAAGTTTATAGCAGTACTTAGCACACAATACTCAGATAATGTCATTATTTTTACTTTTTTGTTCTGTCTTTACACTTTTTTTATAAAATGTGGGGTTTTTTCATCAGTACACACCTGCAGTACATAATGTTTACATTTCTTGTGTGGTGTTGGTACAATTCAGGTCTGTTTTGGAGTAAGCATATTCTTCCTCATGTAATGTTTTTCTTTTTTCCAAATCCTTCCTTTTTCGCCTTATGTATTTCACAGTTGACTTTAGCTCTCATCATTGTTCATCCCAACAGCTAGATGTACTGTCTTTCCACACACCAAATGGAAATGATCTTGCTGAAATCCCCTCTTAAGGGAGGTAAGCAATGCTTCCAACAGGAATGTAGTGTTACAGTTACCTGTGTAGTTAAAAACAAGTGATTATAAATTCTGGACAATAAAGGCAAGGCAGGGACCATCACAGTCCTTGACTTGAAATTATACTACAAAGCTACTGTGATAATAACGGTATAATTATTGGCAAAACAACAACAAAAATAGGCATGCGGATCAACAGAACAGAAGATGCAGAAACAACTCCAAACATAGCCACCTTTTCTTTGACAAAAGGGCCAAAAACCTTTGCTGGAAGAAAGATTGCCTCTTTAATAAATGGTGCTGGGGAAACTGGATTAAAACTAGACCCGCATCTCTCATCGTACACTAAACTAAAATCAAAATGGATCAAAGATCTAAATATTAAAACAAATACTAAATCTGCTTGAAGATGAACTCTTGAAGACATAGGTATGGGCAAAGACTTTATGAACAAAACCTTTATCACACAGGTAATACTACAAAGAATAAAGAGCCAGTCCAAAAATGTGCATCTGAAATGAATAGACACTTTTCAGATAAAAAAGTACAAACAGTAAATATATGAAAAATGTTCAACATAACTGGTCATTGGAGAGATGCAAATTAAAAGAACACTGGGATTCCATCTCACTCCAGGAAGAATGGCTATTATCAAGAAATCAACCAACAACAAATGCTGTTGAGGTTTTAGAAAAAGGAACCCTTCTCCACTGTTGCTCGGAGTATAAATTAGGACAATCAATATGGAAATCCTCAAACCATATTTGCACTTAACTGAACCAACATGGTGACCAAAAGGAGAGTTCAGAGGCTTCAAATTGGCAGAAGCCTTAGGGAGGATTTAAACTGAGGGACTTAGGACAAAAGGAAGGATACAATGTGTGGATTTTACGGGGTGCAAGGTTTAACGTCATGGCTTTGAAACTCAGTTGGCTCCCATAAATCAGTGTCCTCACAGGATGGAAGAATTAAAGTCACAAGGTGACATGGGGAAAAACCTTACCTGCGGAAGGTGCTCAATGTATGCAAGCAGCGGTCTCAGCAAACTATTTATTTTGTAGTTTGGGGTCAAGAGTTCAATTCCTCTCATAGTAGGAGAAGGAAGAGGGGAGAAGGCAAGAAGAGAGTGAGAGTGTGAGTTTATGGTGTGGGATATTTAACTCCCTCTTTACCAGGATGTAGGAACTTTTTGGCCCCACTCAAAATGGAGTCAAGGGTTTGCCTCGCCTAAGATGGCGGCTTCTCCGCCTCTCGGCCCAAGATCTCCAGCAGTAATTGGGCGCCTTAAAGAGACAAACTAGCTGGGTACCACCCCACTTTCTCAAGGTGGCGCCCCACCCCTGTTGATGTCAAATTGGAACCGGGGGCTGTCTTTTCTCCGCCTCCATCTCGGTCACACTGGCGCCCAGCCCCCAGAAAATGGCGGTTCGTTTGTGTCTTCGTGTAACGCCGCCACTCTCAATATGGCAGCTGTTTACTTCGTATTTCTCCCTTTATCCATCCGCTTCAACTTCCTCGTTGTTTTGAATAAACTTTATTGATACTAGCGAATTGCTTAGCACCACTACAGGGTTTCTCCGGGGGACTTTTCTGACCGTCTTCCTTAGATCCGGCAGGTGGTGCATTTCATTACTTGTTGGTTTACTCACGGCTGTCCTACTGGCTCAGCAACGAAGCCACTTCGCCACTTGTCCATTCGTCAGGCAGCCACCGGAGTAGGCCTGAGCTTCTGTCTCTAGTTAGGCCCGAACAGCTGAGCCGTGGGGAAGGCTGTGGAGAAGGCTTCCCAGAAGCACTGCTGAGCTATAGCGCGCCACGAACCCCAGCGGGTGACCAGCGAAGAGGCAAGCCGCTTTTGCTGCGTCCGCGGCGTTCAGGTGAAGATCCCATAATTCGGCGCGCGCCGCCGCTGGGGCCGGAACTGCCGGGGCGAGCCTTCCCTGGTTAAGGGGAGGCGACGCACAGTCCAGGAGCTATCCCGGCCGCCGGCGTGAAGCTAGGACCTACAGTAGCGGGTGTGAGGAATCCCTGCACTTTTGGGCATGAGGAAGTCCCTGTAGCATTCGGGACTGAGGACATTCTTGTCAGGCTTGAGGAGTGAAGAGGTTCCTGTCAAGTCGAGAAGTCGTAAAGAGGTTCTCGTAAGTTTCAGGGGCTGCAAAGAGGACATTCCTGTCAATTTCAGGATCTAGCACGAGATCTCTTGTAAATTTGGGGACTCTGGAGAGTCCTTGTAGTCTGAGTCTGAGAACGCTGTAAGGAAACACCTGCCAGTTTCTGAGCGGTGAAAAAAAAAATCATTGCTGAGTTTTAGGAGTGTGAGGAAATTCTAGTCAGTTACATCGAGTTAGAAGGGGTCCTTTTTTAGTTTCAGAGGTGCGTGGAGAAGCTTGTCATCTTCGAAGTAGAGGACGAACTGATTAATTTTGAAATTGAGATTTATTTCACTTTTTGAGGGTGATGACTAGTCGGGGAAGGAATGGTACTGAGACTGAAGGAAAGGATCATTTAAACTCTCCGAACACGACCTCACAACAGTGATTTGAGTTGGGTGCTTAGTCTAGTCTGCCGCCTTCTCGAAGGCTTCGAGGTGATTTGCAAGTAGCCTGAGCAGACTGTGAAGGAGGTCGCTTCTCTTATATCTGGTTGCTTCTCTTTGAGAGGTGATTCAAGGGTCTGTCTCCGAGGTACCCTCCAGCTTTATTCTTTATGCTGCTGTGGTTTGCATCATTAATGAAGGGAGCCTGGAGCGCTTGTAAGCAGGAGGCTTTCAAGGAGAGGGTTCAGTGAAGGATTAAAGAAGCTTTCTGAAAGGCTTTGGATGTTTCCATGAAACCCGGAAAGAAGTTATCACTGACTCCAGGGCCGAAGAAGGTCGGGGACGGATAGGGGGAACCTCAGAGGCAGAGTGCGGAACGTTCTTTCCTTGTGAAAGAAATTCTAAAGGCAGGGTGGACTTTTCTTTGGTTGCCCCCTACAGCCGCACCAGCTGTGTTGCATCCTGACGGCGGTAACTCCCTATTTGAGACTGTGGGTTGGTGTGCACGCGGGGTGGTGGTGGTGGGGTAGGGTGGTGGTGTGAGTGGGGTGATTCACTCAGTAAAAAGTGTTGTTGTGTCCAGCCATCGTCCACAGAGGACGTGTGCTGCCATTTCTCGCTCCTTCTGACACCACGAACCTGGCCCGCCGCAGAACGCTCCAAGGCCCGGCGAAGATGGCTTCGGTGCCTGTGTATTGCCTCTGCCGGCTGCCTTATGATGTGACCCGCTTCATGATCGAGTGTGACATGTGCCAGGACTGGTTTCACGGCAGGTAAGGAGGGCAAGCGAAGCTGGACTGAGTGCACAAGTCAGGTATATTCACTTGTGGTGCCCTTTTCTCAGCTCTGTTTTTAGATTCTTGTTCAGAAACTAGCCTCCTCTTAATTCCACTCCCCACCCCACATCCAGGTTTTTCTATCCCGTCTTGTAGACTAGGGTGTAAGTAGCATTAACCTCTTATTTCTCTTCTTTCTGATAGGTCTAATATGCGTGTGTGTGTGTGTGTGTGTGTGTGCGCGCGCGCGTGCGCGCGTGTATGTATATGATATTTTAAAACCCTTTCCTTTCCAGCTACAAAGAAAGTATTGTTTTTGTATTGTGACAGTTACATTTTCCCTCAGACATTGACTTTGGGGGAGGCATTACTGCATTTTCGAGATATCTGACTTTTAAAAATGTGTATTTCTTTGCAACTTACTATCAGAAAGGATGGGGGCAAGTTGCTTTGCCTCCATGAGCCTCATTGTCTTCACCTATAAAATACATCGAATATATTCCTCCTGACTGTAAAGCAGTTTGTATGCATTCAAGAAATTAAGGCTGAAATGCAGTGGTATTTAATTTCTGTATTTTCTGCAGAACCATCCAACTAAATTGAATTAAGCAGAAGGGTTATTGGGTAAAACAATAGGAATAAAACCACTAATGAATTCCCTCCAATTAACCATGTGTGCGAATAAGCACCTGTCACCCAGCATTCCAAAGAAGTTAGTATGTGAAATAAAACTGTAGTATTATCCTATTATTGGGATTTAAATCTCATCTATGGAAAGACAGCCATCAGGGGGATTTGTACACCGGAGTATAATAAAACAGTATATGGCACTTCCTATTGTATGTTAAATTCTAGAACTTTAAGTGATCATTAGCCCTTTTCAATGGAGCTGCTCCTGTTATCTTGCTCAAAAATCAAAGTAAAGGTTTTGTAGGCAGGGGCTGCAACCCTATAGCACATCCAAAGTCTTGTTTAACTGATCTTTATTGAATATTTACTGTGTGCCAGATGCAGAGTTCTGTTTATTACCTTATGTTTATTTAAGAGAGAACAACCCTAGAAGGAGGGGCCTTTTTCTTTGGCTTGGAAATAAGTGGGGATTAAGATGTCTTTCAGGATTCCTGGTTCTTTGGTAGCGCTGATCAAGTCACTCCTCAGCTTAAAATTCTTTTCAGGGTTTCCCCTGCAGGATAAAATTCAGTCTCCTTTGTGTGACAGGCAAGACCTTTTGTGATCTACTTGTTCAAACTCATTTCCTGCCACTTCTCCTCCCTTGTTCTTTATGTCCCAGCAAAACCAAATTATCTATAGTTTTGGGAAATTTTTATACTCCCTTATGATTTGTCTTTGCACTTTCTATTCCTAATAGTGGCCTCCCCTTTACAACTCATAGAATATCTCTTCTATTAAAAAAAACCTTCCTTTATATGGCTTCCTGTTGTACCTTGTGTTCATCCTTATTAAGAAGTGATTATTTAATTTCATAATTACAAATGTGTCTGTCACTGCGTAGCCAGAGTTCTCTGAGGGCAGAGGTGTCATCTTTTTACTTTTGGAATCCCCAGAACTTGGTTCTATGCTAAACATGTAATAGATGCTGAGTATATTTTTGAGTGAATGAACGAATGAGCCATTGCAAGAAAAACTAGCATGAATCCTGTTTTGATTATACAAGAAGTGTATAGGTTCAGATGTGGAAAATGGAGTTTTGCCGACAGTATGGAGACCCTGACTCCATACTCAGAGTACAGGAATAAATGTTTTCTGAGTGGTTACTGTGTATCAAACTTCATTAAAAGGACTTTTCTTACATTATTTAATGTGTACCCAGACCTGAAAGTTAGATTTGAAAAAACTGTTTTTAGTTTTTTCTTGATTATATAGGTAAGACATGCTTATTGTAGAAAATACAGAGAAAGAATATAGAAGGAAGTAAAAGTTACCTATGAATCTAATATCTGACATAATCCACTGTTAATTTTTTTGTTGTATTAGCTCCTTTTTTTTCCTCTTTTTTTTTTTTTTTTTTTGTCTTTTTCCTTTTTATCGGTACCGGGGATCGAACTCACGACTGCCTGCTTACAAGGCAGGCGCTTATGCCGCTGAGCTAAATCCCCAGCCCTCCCCAGCTCCTTTTTTTAAAGACAGGGTCTCCTTATATAGTTCAGGCTGGCCTTGAACTTACTATGGAGCCTAGATTGTCTTTTAACTCATGTCAGTTGTGCTACTTTAGCTTCCCAAGTTCTGGGATTACAGATGTGTGCCACCATGCCTGGCTTACCTTTTGATTTAAAATACAAAATACATTTTTGTAGAATGGGATTGTACTATAAATATTGTTTCATTATCTTTATTCCTGCCTAATATTATAAGTATTAACCACATTATTAAATACTCCTGTAAATCTGATTTCTGATCTATCTATCTATCTATATTTGTTACCAGTTACTAGGTCATTTCATTTATGGTTGTACACATCATGCTTTTTTTTTGCATGGGTGATTTTTTTAAAACTTTTTTTTTTAAAACATTTGCTTGTAATTTTTTTCTTTTTTGGTCTTTTGGAGACAGAGTTTCACTCTCCAGTTCAGGCTAGCTTTGAATTCACTTTGTAGCCCAGTTGGCCTCGAACTTGCATTGATCCTCCTTCAGCGTTTCAAGTGCTGGGATTACAGGCATGTGCCACCATGCATGGTGATTTGTAATTTTCTATATTGTAAACAATATTGTAATGCAATGAAACCTTGGGAATTCTAGATAGGTTTTGCATCTTGATATTAGTGCTGGTTGAAAAGAAAAACATTGTGGTCAACATCTTTGCACAGTAGGCACTTGACATATACAAGAACCACTGAAGCCTGCTGTAAGGAGGCTATTTATGGACATATGGAAATGGATTTATAAGTTAGGTCCCTCTTTAATCACATTTCTGTGGTGTGTTCTATGTTTCGAGGTATACCTAGACACAAGTTAATTGCCTTAATTTTTTCCATGAAATAAACCATTTTTTAAATCTCTTCTGTTTCTTTTTATGTACTTCCAGACAAGGAATCTAGCTGAGAATCAGGTCTTGGGTGGGTGGCTGTTCTTGCTTACTCCGTACATAGTTTGCATGTGTACAAACACATGTACAGCAGTCTCACAGCACAACATTTAAGTTTGTACTTCAGCACATTTGATAATAGCTGAATATCGTAGTGTTTTCATGGTTGCTTACAATAGGTAGGTCCACAAAATTTAAATCCACAATGACTGTAGGTAATGATAGAAGCTGTTTACATCTCTGGTAGATTTCTTAAAGTCCAGTTAGGGAACATGATCTACAATGCCAGGTTAGTAACTGGAGAGATTGTAGCAAAGGAGGTGGCTATTGTATTTTACTTGTGAGAATCTGGAACTCAGGAAAGTTAAGTGACATTCTGAATGTGGATTTGCACTTTGAATTATTTGATTTGGGAGCCAAGGTTCTCAAACGCAGAAAAAACACATGCTATAGCATTATTCCTCTGATAAGAGTCTGAGTTTTGGGAGAAAAAAAACCCAAAAAGCAAAAACCAAAAGAAATCAAAACATTGATTTGTAGTATATTTCTTCTCAAATTACTATACAAAATGGTGAACATCCAAGTCACGTTGAAGACCTGTGACCACAGGAAGATGAGTAGACTATAGCTGCAGTGTTTCTCATTCAATAAGTGGGCCAATCCTCAGTCCCTCTTTTTTGTTTGTTTTTTGAGACAAGGTTTTTCTATGTAGTTGAGACTGGCCTTGAACTCACTGTGTAGCCCAGGCTGGCCTCCAACTCAGTAGCAGTCCACCTGCCTCAACCTCCCAAGTGCTGGGATTATAGTTATGTGCTACCATCCCTGGATTTTGATTTCTCTTTCCTTTGTGGGGAATGTGATAGTTTCTGATACTGGGGAATGCCTGTTTTTTCAAAGTGGTTGATCAACTGGGAATTTGTTAAAAATAAAAATTCTTTTTTTCTTTTTTGTACCGGGAATTAAACTCAGGACCTTGCAATTGCCAGGCGTGTGCCGTGCCACTGAGCTATGTCCCCGGCCAAAAATGACAATTCTTGAGGTAGAACTAGAACTCAGCAATCTTTAACGAACAGGTAATTCTGATGCATCCTAACCTTTGAGAATCATTGTTGTACACTATAGGAGAAAACTAGTTGGCAAGCATTTATTGATATCCAGAGGTCTTTTCTGTTTTTTTTTTTCAATTCTGGAAACATCTCTAACAGAGGTCTTTTCTGTTTTTTGAGACAAAGTCTAGCAATGTAGTCCAGGCTGGCTTTGAATTCATTATGTAGCCCATGCTGGCTTTGAACTTACGGCGATCCTCTTGCCTCACCTTTCCAAGCGCTAGAGTTACCCTTATGCACTGTCAAACCTGACTAATGTTTTGCATTTTGACAAAAACCTCACTGCCTTACAATTTTTCTGTTTACGAAGGACAGTTGGACACGATTAAGTCTAGCTACTCTAGAAGGTGAGGCAGGAATATTGTTGTGAGTTCAAGGTCAGCATGGAATGTTTTTTTTGAGACAGGGTCTCTATGTAGTTCAGGATGACCTTGACCTCACTTTGTAGCCCAGGCTGGTCTTGAACTTGCAGTTATCCTCCTGCCTCAGCCTTCCTAGTGCTAGAATTACAGGAGTGTACCATGATGCCTGGCTCAGCATGGGCAATTTAACAAGAACTTGTCTCAAAATAAAAAAGTAAGTTAAAAGGCAGTAGATAGAGATCAGTGCATAGTCCTGTTTAAATTCCCAGTACTGAAAAAAAATATTTTTTTGGTTGACAAATACCTGATGAAGTAGATAAAGTATGATGAATCTGTTAATTATTAGCAAAAGAATTTCATCACACCAAACTAAATTATTTTATATTGACTGTATTGGAGTTTGTACTTTCCAATGAATTGATACATTTATCTAAGTTGTCAAATTTATATATTTTTTTCCATTTGGGGTATAATAAGAAATCAAAT